TATAAGCGAATTCCTATCACTTTGCATGGTGATAAAAACTTTTAACGATAATTGTATACTGCATCAAACAGGCTGTGTGTTAAGCTATTTTCTAGAACTAACGAAGGGGAATCGTGTACGTCTTGTATTGTCCCTGTCTATCATAGATCTACAAATTTCCTCACTGCTCTTCTTGACATAAGTTTAAAATTAACATAGGTAAAACGGAGGCTGGCGTTGTTTATTACAAGAACGTTTGCAGAGTCATTGCCCAAAATTAATTATTGATGAATGGTAATAAAAATAATTGAATTTTTACCCACGATCTACTGGAATGTTCGAAACGTGAGGAACTCCAAGTGCCCCGATGTCTTTTCATGTATGATGCACGTGTTTAATGACCCCACCAATCCAGCCGGGTTTTCGTTATCACTTGACTGTCTTGAGTGACTTTAAGTCTTGTTGCGCCATTCAAATCTCATAGCTGCTTCTTTTTATTGTTATAAAAGCAAACTTTGCCAGATTCTATTTTTTACAGTCAGACCCAACTTGTTTTCTAAGGTTGTGGACTTCTGGAAAAGGATTTCATGAGCCTTTTATTCTCAAGATCTCAATAGCAGTTCTCATTACCTATCAGGTCATCAAGGTGTTGATACACAAAGAAGAATTTAGTTCTTGTTCAATCCAAAGGGTGAAAGAGATCCACTTCAGTTATTAACCGAAAAAAACTCTTTATTAGGATTGTTTGGCTGTTGTCATAAACTTCTCACAATACCCACAATATGATGCCCTACCAAACTGTTTTGATATTTATAATTCATTTTTGTTTTCAGGCTCCACAATATGCAATATTTACATTTGTCTTAAATTTTACCATATAGAGGGAAAGTGAACTCTTATGACCTGCTATTCCTATCCCACTGTCTCAGATATAAACCGTTACACTCGATATTTACTTCCGCCCAAGTACACAGTGTTTCGCATTATTTTAAATAATGGGCAAGTTACAAATTAATTGGAAAATACTACGACTGTTATCCTCATTAGAAATCTTAAATATTAAATCGGGAAAGATGAAAGAACCACCAAGCAAACATCCTTTACTTTTGTGACGCCAAAGGTTGGTTAAACTCCCGAGATAACTTGTAATTTTAATATTATTTGACCAGCTGAAAATGGGTGTCTACTCCACGCATGCGTACCAGGAAAAGATACGAGTCACATGGATTACCAGTTTGACATAACTTTACGAAAATTTGTTCAGAAAGGCGCTATTATGGTTTTTTCGTATCCTTAACATATCGACCGCCTCCTGCTTTAGTTTTGGAATAAATGTAAGCATAATTACTTATTTGGTCTCCCACTTGGCCGGTCACGAAATTCAGATCTTTCGGCCTACCTGCGGTTTTTATGTTTCCTTGAAAATGTTCCATCGACACATGAATAATTTCGCTCATCTTGAACAAAAGAAGCTATTTTCGTGGGTATTTTAACGATGCGCGCAAAAGATAAACATTTTAGTCACCTTTAATACTAAGGCTTCCGGCCTCTTGCCAACGACTTATCGAAATTGTTTGTAGCATGTTGCTTGCCACGTTTCTAATTTTTCGAAGTTAATTTTATCAAAATCTATTTTTCCGATTACACTATTTCCAAGATCATCTGCGATTTGGCGGCCACGAGAAAATACTTAACAGCACGGTAGTATAAGTTAAATTAATTGATACCTCGAAAAGTTACAACAATTTATTCTGCGAGTTAAATTAAAATTCCAATTAGTTATTCACTTCTATCAATAGATTGTCATCTTAGCTAATTCCTATTTTTAAATCGCTAAATATTCACAAAAGCCTTTTTAGGCTCCGCAAATACAAATGAATGTGTTTATTTTTACAGTATTTTTATGTCGAAACCCTTGGTAAAGTTCCATCGTCCTTTAACCGGCGTCGAAAAATATATTTATAGTATTATTGAACATAAAATCAACTTTATGTTTTGACGAACGCCATAACGTCCATAAAGAGCAATTTCCCTTTTGTGCAGAGGCCATTTCCAGGGAATGGCGGTGTTTTTTTGGTGCGAAATGAATTCACACGGCACGATGCCGTTATGAAATACATCTTGCGGAAACTCGAGGGTGGCAAAAAAAAATCACCTGTCTCTTAGTCACTTGGCGCTGTTTGATCTCGTCTTGGTTGCAAGCTGTCTTCACATTATACTAATTAAACTTTTCCTCATTTCGTATAAACTCGAACCGAATTCAGGCTCTATGCTCTGTTCAATTACCTCGCAGATAGCGTTTCGTCTTCCTTTGACGCACGCAAGTAACTGTATCGGACGTTTCCTCTTTCCTTCGCCACGCACCGCGGAAGAAATAGAGCCTCCGTGAGCTTTCAAACGTGAAACTTCCCCTGCTTGTACGCAAGGCGTACTGTACCACCGGGACTTTGCAGATCCCGTTCTTCGTTTCGTGGAGTGTCGAAGAAAGCCAGTGTTACGGTCGATTAAACCCAAGTTTTTATATAAATCTTCTGTCATCTTCGTTTTCCTATTTTCATCCCGGTTTTGACACCTCTCATTTTCAGGTGACTCTTCGCCGTCCGAGAAACTCTTTAGTCGCGTCTGAATTCGCCGAATTTTGTACTCCTTCGTCTCATCGGCGTTAATCGCATCAGTTTTCGAGGATCGGACTTTAACAGTTTCAATGTCCAGCTTCATTTTAGCATTTTGATAATAAGAAGTTTTAGCGCCTGCTTTGACCAACGTCATGTCATCAACTGTTTGCATTGTAAGTCCGTGTTTCTTATTCCAGTTATCAGCCGATAATTCTGGAGTCAGATTAGTCGTTGTCACATTTTCTATCCTGGGATTACTCTCCTCCTTAACCTGCCCTACCGTGTTGAACCGCTCCGCGCTGTTCGTCCCCAAACACATTTGATCTTTATGAGGCAGTCGAGTATTTATCGAGGTATTATTCCAAATTGACTCTCTCTCTTTTTCCGAACATGCCCTCGATTTTTTCGGAAATGCTTGCGTTTTGTCATCCAGTGGTTCAATTGGTGGCAGTTTTGCGAAATAATTTTCATCTTGTGTAAACTCTTTTCCACCTAGCCCTGAAATTTGTAATTTTCCAATTGGAGGTAAAACTTGTTTCTTTGTTGTTTTTGCGCCAAGCGTTTCCCCTCGCAACGAACAAAATCCTTGAGCCAGAGGAGCGCTGGATGATGTTTTACTTAAACTTGCGCCTGTTTGGTGAGCTCCGGAAACAACAGTTAGACCTGGAGTTGCTTTCCAAGAAATCTGTTCAAACTTCGCATCACGATGCTCAGTTGAGGACACATGAAACCGGTACTCCGCGGCTGGCGGTCTTATATTTTCACCGTTGTTTTTCCTCGTCTCTTCAGCATCTCTGTCATCCAAATAACGGAAAATGTGCGTAAATATCATTCTGTAAATGTATTATGCTCTCAGTGGCAAACTCTTCATCAAAATAACACGAAAAAGTTCGTCTGCAATGGTGAGATTAGCGCGCGTTTGTAGTCTAACCTCCCAGGGCAGATTGGATCAGACTAACGTGTGTAGATAATCTTGTATCACTTTTCTTATTCCTTGTAAATTTAGCAAGGCGCCGCGCATTTTCTTTCTGGGCCGCTGAATGGCTGAGAGTCATTTATGTCAAACAAAGACGATTAATTATTGATCTAAACCGTAAATGCTAAATATGGCTTCAGAAGCTAAATGGTCATGAATGTTTATATTTCACAACCCAGACATCGGGGGCGTGTCGCTTATTTTACGTGCTCTGAATAACGTAAACGACTTTGATTTTTTTCTTCTCGTCGTTTCGATATCAGAGAGATCGATCACAGTAATTTCTCTGAGTCTTTAATATTTCGCTCCTTTTTCGCTTCCTGCACCTGGTGGATTAATCTGCAGGTGAAATCAGGGCGAAAATTTACAACACACCTTCCACGATCTTTGCCAATGTACCTTCCACGCTGTAATCTACAGATTTTGCTCTTCGACGATATAAATAATCGTAAATTAACATTTTGTTTCAGAGCTTGCAGAGCAGTTAATATAGATAGCCTCTTGCCGTCGCATTAGGCTGTTAACACGCATCACGGGCTGTTGTGTGATTCGCGAGAAAAGTGCTGTTTGCTAAACAATAATTTGCGCGCGGGGCACTACGCACAAGGTTGTATGCCAAAGCTACAAAAAAAATTGGCCGTAGAAGTTTCCCGATTTTAATGCGATAGGACTGAAATTTGCTTTGATTTCAAATTATCCTTACCGTTAACCTTTTAAAGCCAAAATAACTTCGAAAATATAATATATTCTCTACCTGCATGTTGCTCAACACACAGTCATCACTTAGCGAAAGAAAAAAAAATTTGCACACTTTTTCTCTTCTCAAACGTAATGCACCCGACCGGAACTCAAGGTCGGAAAATCCCGACCTTTTGCTAATCGGCATAAAAATTAATAAGCTTGCAAACGCAAATTTGTATCAAAATATATTTATATCTCCCGGATATTTCCAATATCTTGCGACAGTATCCCAAAAAGTTTTATTTGATATCAGGATATCGCCAAAATACGAGGAAGTGATTGCTAAAACCAATTCAAATCTAGAATTGCTTTGAGCCATTTTCAGTTACGAGATTTTTCAGTCAACCACATGAATGTTGTATCGTTTAATGACAATTTCAGGAACCTCGGGCAATAGATCTCGATTCATGTGCACTTTTGTGGGTTTGTTTTGTCTCACGATGTTCATTAACACTGTTGAATATGGGGTACTTTTGTTTTTCCAGCTCTCTTCCCGTAAATAAGCGCAACGGTCCCTTTTGAGAAAAATTAACCTTTTGTGAAAGCCCAAGTTCTGCCCTCCTACACACCTATCAGGTAATTTTATTTACACGGTAAATTTATGATTAATATGGATACAACCTCCTCTGTTTTCGCCTACATAGTTTATTCTGTGAAAAGTTAGAATATGTTCACTTGACTAGGAGCAATGAACAAGTGATAAGTTTTCGATTCAAGAAACGACAGAAGTACTCAGAAAGATTTCTTTTTTTCCTCGCAACCTTAATTTATTTCGGGGTCATTAACGCTATTATTTACGCAACGTTGAGGCACTTAAGCCGTCAAAAGTTTTGAATAGAGACAGATATAGGCACGCACGTGAGAAACAAAGGCGGTTGTGACGTCGCTGACGTCTTGAAAGGCGTTTTAACGTCATCTGTTTGTACGTTCATTCAGCCAATACAGTCACTGATCCACAACGTGTTGAAAAAGGCTGTTAATATTTAATTAGATAGGAAGAAAAATAAACAGAAACCCAGGAATCATTAAATGACCAAAACTGGAATTGCTTACGATTTTGAGAATTTCCAGGAGCCCATCACCTCATGATATTACTAATATTTAAATACTATAAATTCGAGAAAGGTTTTTTTTGTGCAAGGTTTGGTAATCATTGTATTTCACCTTATTCTCAATTGCTTTAACACGAAATAAACAGCGACAAAATTAGAGAGGAAACCCATCTTACATATTATGAGAAAAATGAAGTTTTTTTTCTTTCGTATTGTACTTTGTTCTTTCCACATATATTTCGTTTAGTTCGTATAGTTCTCTGTTTTTTCTTTGTTCAAATTCCAGCTTGAACAAATTCCCAGCTGATTTTCTTAAAAAAAGGGGTTTAATTGCGCTTTATAGCTAAAAATTTTTACTTTTAACTTATCTTTTAGCCCCGTTAATTGCCATTCAAAAAGCACAATTTAATTCAGACCAATATTGGTTCAGAGGTAGTTAAGATGGTGGAAATAAGTTTGGTGTTTCCCCCGTAAACTCGTATTCCTCCAGATCACTATAATGGTAGCTTTCCCTGTCTTTGCCTTGAGCCAGGAGCCCGGAATTTGTCATCCTCTTTATTCTTTGCCTCAGTCTCTTTCGTCTGATGCAGTATATACTGACCGCCATGCCAATCAATATTGCAATTACCACGAGCACTATAATAGCAGTTGGAACACCGTGTTTTCCTGAACGAGCGCTCTGCGAACCTTTTCGAGCAAGATAAAATCCATGTATGAATAATAGTATACTAAGCTAAAATTCTATGCAGAACGTTAAAAAAAATTCCATGAGAAATCAACGGTATTTTTCTCCGGACAAGGTTGCTGTCTATCACTATTACTGACGATATCTTTCCAGTGTATGACAGAGATAAAAGACGGGTTTCATTTGTATCCCTCTGAACTACTTATGTTTAAATGTTTGTTTTGAATAACTAACCCTGCATGTATGGTGCACGTAAAGTACGTCTTACTCCCAGACTTCGCCGAAAAGGAGGGACTGCTCCTGGTCTATTTCACCTCCAACGATAATTAATTATTTAACTATACTAAAAATAAGGCTAACCAAGGATACTCTGCGACATTTAGCATGTCACTCATCCGTATTTCAGTAAGATTAAACGCAAAACCGAAAGTGATACTTACCTTCGGATTTTGTCGTCGTTAGGTTTAAACTGGCACTTGCTGT